CCCTAAACCTAACCCTAAACCTAACCCTAAACCTAACCCTAAACCTAACTCTTACCTTAACTTGAATCGGCTTGCTTTCAAAGCGCTATTTAAAGCGCCCTTCTTTCTCCGCGCTTGCTGTTGTCGCCCTGTTGATGACGTCAGCAATGCGGTTTAATCGGGCGCGCTTTAGTCGAGCGCGGTTTTGTCGTGCCACGGTCTTGTTCACTCTTTCCCAGGAATCTCATCTATAATGACCCCAGGATCAATTTTATCTATTAGGCACAACAAGCACAGTTTTAATCAGGAAGAATGACGATGAAATAGAAGTTCCTTTCAATAAAAACAGAAATGCACATTTGCACATCAAATTGATGGTCCTAGAAATGAATAACATAGCATAAATACTAAAATGCAATAACTTTGATTATAAGCAACAGATATATAATTGGCAGCATCTGGTTTTACCTGCATGCACAAAGAGATACATGCATGTATATGTTTGAGTGTGAAGTACAAGCTATGTATAATTACTATTCCTTAGCTCTCTGTAAAAATGCAAATACAATGTTGAAAATCATGTGACATGTAATTTCAGTACTACCTTTTTAAGGGAGGAAGACAAAGATATGTACGGTTGACAAAAGTGACAAGACAGCCCTGAATTTCTCATTTCCTTCCTTAACTTTTCTTGCTGCCTCTTTCTGGGTTCTCAAGGTCACTTTGGAATTCCATCACAGAAGATGAAGTTCAAGATAATAAAGCCCTTTATTCTGCATTTAAAACCTGAGATCAATAAGTAGGTTGGTGAAGCCACGCCATTTTCAGCCAGGCAGCATCTTCTGGTTCCCTTTTATATATTCTGAATTTTATTCCATATCCTACATCGTTCCTGTATATACTTTGCAAGCCCTGAGCTTACAAATTCATCTTATTTCTGTAACCTGCAACCTGCGTAGCCATAGTCATGCCCTTATTCTCACCCACTAAAAAATAGAAAGCCATCACCTGAAGCAATATATTGTTTTCCAGATATTTAGGTTATTTACTTGTTGGGGCTCAATACAGGTACAATACAAAAACAATCTAAGTGCACCAGGATTGTTCTCCTTGCTCAATTGATTGATTGATTGATTGGTTGGTTGATTTAAATATTCTGCATGATGACATGTCTCTATAGTGATCCTTCAGATCTTCCAACTGTTATCTAATTGAGCCAATCCAGCCTGTGGCTGTTCTCCCTCTTTTGATCTTCCCTTGTACTTTTAGCAATAGCAATAGCAATAGCAGTTAGACTTATATACCGCTTCATAGAGCTTTCAGCCCACTCTAAGCGGTTTACAGAGTCA